TGTGTGAGAGAGTGAGTGAGTGAGTGTGTGTGCGTGCGTGCGTGCGTGTTTTACTCACCATCCAGTGATAACCAGTCCAGTTGTGAGCTTGGTAACGATGAGGCGTTGCGAGCGCGATACTCAAACAGCACAGAAGAGGAGACGGCGCTGGAGTCCTTCAACACATGCAGAGCGACGAGTCCAGCTTCATGAGCTACACACACACACACACAGGAAACTTATTATATCTAACACAAAACTCTACATGCAAAATTATTGTTTTTTCATGCACTGGTCTATTTTGCTTCCATATCATGTCTCTTCTTTCAGACTAGTGAAAAGAAATCATCCAAAACACACATTTAAGTGTTTATTTTATTGCACTTATCTATTTTTGTCTGTAGATTTAGACCTCATTCCCTAGTTTTTCTCTTACAAACACCAAACTTTACAGTTTTATTCCTCTCTATATTCTGAAGGTTTGTTTATATTTCATTCACACTCATTTATACAACATTTCACTCTTAAAACAAAACACGGTGAAAATGTGTTTGTGTTCTGTCTGCTGACGGTATTTTCTGATTTATGGAGTGATAAAAAGAGAAATCCAGAATCCCCTCTGGAAAAACCTTTAACTCTAATATGACAACAGAATCAGACAAGAATTATGAACCTGGATTCAGATTTCTGTTCTGGAAATATATTAGAGCCCGACCGATATATCGGTATCGGCGAATATGCCGCCGATATAAACATTTTTTTTACAGAACATATAACACAGATAAAATGCTTCTGAATGCTGTAATTACTTAGTTTGTCCAGCAGAGCGTGCTCCATTGTTTGCTACTGGACCCAGGTCAGTGTAGTGTAGAGATGCGCAGATGAGCTCAAACTTCACCCGAGTCCGCTGCTTCAAATTATCCACCCGCACCTATATTTGATCGTCACATTACAATGATTCTAATTCTTAGTTTTGCATGATGATATGATGAATGGATGGTTCATTTTAACAGCAGATTCAGTGACGTTAGAGACTAGAGCTGATCTGCGCATCATGGCGCGGCCCAGAACTCATGCTTATCACATCGGTCACATCATCACATCGTGCGGTGCGACAAAATACAATCGAATTTCTATTGTATTTTGTCGCGCCGCTCGCATCCGGTGTAGAATAGAACCCTTTTAATATTATTATATTATATAATATTATTATTTATTCATTTTAGGTGTTTACATTTGGAAAAGCTGTGCTTCCTGCATAAACCTGCCCCTGTTGGTTTGAGTAAACTGATGCCTCGTTCTATTTATGACACAAAGTTCAAATGATTTTCAGCGGTCGCTTTGTCGCGTCTGTTGCGGCGCAGACACGGTGTCAGCATAGTTTGTCAGTACAGTCAGTAACGTAGCAGATTGAAAAGTTAGTATCTTTCTGCAGTCCAATAGACGGCATTTTGTTCTATTTGTGTTATTTATAATAAGTGAAGTTTACTGTTAAGTGCACTGATGTCAGACTCACTTTGAATAATAAAGTTTATTGATAAATTGTTAAATACCCTGCCTCCATTACATAGGCCTATGTTTGTCACATCATTATAAGTGTTTGATCACCACATTTGAGTTATCATTGCACAAAATGTGTTTATGTATATATATTCTGTTTATGTAGGCTATATACTGTATTCTATACACAGTACCAGTCAAAAGTTTGGACACACGAATGGGAAGTGTGTCCAAACTTTTGACTATACTGTACTATAATATAGCCTACACATAAAGAATATCGGCCCATATATCGGCATCAATCTTTTTTTACTCCCTAATATCGGTATCGGCCCCAAAAAACCCATATCGGTCGGGCTCTAAAATATATGCAAATTAGTGTATATTTATTTAGACAGTGCCTTATTTGCATTTTTAAACATATCATGAAAGAAATCCAAATGCAAAATGTAATACAAAAATTTTTTGCAATTCTTAACATAATCATTCAAGTATAGTGATATTTTTTATAATATTCACCTGTAGTTTTACACTTTATTTGAAGTTTAACTGAAGGAGAATTTGAAAAATCATCATAGAGACATTAATGAAGTGAGATTTTACCATTTTTATTACACTAAATAAATGTAATGTTTACACAAAAAATCTGTGTGCTTCCTCTTATTGGTCTTTTTCTTTAAGGACATGGACATTCATCTGTATGTTTGTGCTGTGAAACTGTATTGTTTTGCTCTTCAGTTGTATTGACTTCTCTCTGTCAGACTGGATGTGTTCTGTGAAGCTGTGAGCGCCTCCCTCTGGCTGTGTGTGAGACCGACTCTGACCACAGATGTGTGTGTGTGTGTGTGTGTGTGTGTGCGCCTGTGTGAGTGTGTGTGAGTGTATGTGTGTGAGTGTGAGTGTGTGTGTGTGTGAGTGTGAGAGAGAGCGAGAGAGAGAGAGTGTGTGTGTATCTGTGAGTGTGTGTGTGTGTGAGTGTATGTGTGTGTGTGAGTGTGAGTGCTGCTCACCTGGACAGTAACAGCGCAGGACTCCTGGCTGGATGAGAGAAGCAGGAACTCTGCTCTGGTCAAACACACACGAGTATCGGCTGTCCGTCTCTGACCACGGGCCTGTGATCAGCAGCTTCACTCCGCCCTGAACCACGGAGAGTTAAACACGGTTATTACATCTACCCCAAACTAAAACTAAATTGCGACCTATGCTCTCAATTAGGGATGCACCGATACCACTTTTTTCAAAACGAGTCCGATACTGATACATTCATTTTTGGTACTTGTCGATACCGATACCTGTATTTTCACAGCATTTGTATTTTTTTTTTAAATATTGGGTACAGAAACAAAATAATAATAGTAATAATAATATGAATCATGTTAGTTGGCTTCATTTAGCAAACATACATTACCTTCATTTATTTCCACACTTAATTATACCTGTTAAAATGTATTGTATAAGCGTTTGTTACTTTCACTGTTCATTTTAATGGCGCATTAGAGCAGCTCAATACTGTAATCACAAAACGTTTTTATAATAATACAGGGAACCACTCGTTATACATTATACGAGTGCACGCTACTATTTTGGTGATGTAATTTGCGTCACGCGCAGTGTACACGGACCCTCGCATACGAGTAAAAACCGAAGTATACTTTGGCCTTAAAGCAAGCTAAACATACACGTTTGTATTGGTGCAGAATGAGAGAGACACTTACAGTCTAGCGCATTTCACCCCGTCTGCTAGTTTCTCTTCTGCTTTAAATAAAGTTGTGTATGCTTGACGTTTAAAATAAATGCTGTTTATAGTGAATGCCCCTATAATTTTTGTTTGTTTTATATTTACGATTTAGTTTTAATCCAAATGCATGCACTAATGGCGCGAACAGCAATCAAGAATCAACAACAGAAGTGTGCGCGCTCAGACTCTCTCTCTCTCACTCTCCTTACCGTCAAATAACTTTAGTAACTTGTGCATTGTTTAACTTACATGCTTTTGACATATCTGATCGAACTACAAACTTTCCAGTGATGTCTGTGAGATATTCACTCGACAAGCTCGCGCTCTGCTTATCAGCTCGCGCACATCCGCTATACAGGCGTGAATATTGAATGTTTAACATTATATTAATTACTTACATGTACTTCATAGACATCCTTAATCTCTAATAACTCTATTCTACTCTCTGTTGTTCTGTTTTCAGTGTTTCTTTTTCTGGACACATTAGTGTCATTATTGTCACACTATTTTCCTGTTTTGATACTGTAAAGCTGCTTTGACACAATCTGTATTGTTAAAAGTGCTATATAAATAAAGGTGACTTGACTTGACTTAAAACCATTAAAACATTCTTGTTATATGAAATAAAATGTGTTTTCATTTTAGTAATTTTGCTACTAATTTTAGTATTTAGTTTGTAATAAAATAACACCAGTGTAATTTTAGTATAATTGAGATGCTATCATAGTTTTTATTTATATTTTGAATTTTGAAACATTTTCATTTTCATTTTAAATAAAGTTTTAGTAATTTAGTAGTGTTTTTACCATTATTTTTTTGAAGCTGAAATAAAAAGTAAGTTTTAATATATTTTATATCAGCTAGTTGCCAAGGCAACATTTCACATTTTCACCTAATTTACCGTGAAGAACTAAAGCTAAAATAAAAATGCATAGACATAAAAAAACAAACTTAAAAAAAGAGAAAAAACCACAAACAAAAAATTTAACTAAAATTAAAATTAAAATCGAAAATATAAAAATAAAAACGAATTCAAAAACTAAACTATATAGCATATAAAATATAAACCATAGTAGTCTCAATTATACTAAAATAACACTGGTGTTAACCAAGCGAAACACAAGCAGAAACACATTTTATAATCAGAACAGATCTTTTCTTCTTCTTCTACAAATAGTCAAAGCTTAAACTTCATAAAATAATGTTTCTTCACCTAAGAGACTTTATTTTGTATTCATTTTAAATGATTTTTGCAATGGATTTGCAGCAATTAAAGAAATAGTTCACCCAAAAATGAAAATGAAAATTCTGTTATCATTTACTCACCCTCAACAAGTTTCTTTCTTCTCAAAAGATGATATTTTGCAGAATGCTGGTAACCAAACAGGTGACGGTACCCATTGACTTCCATAGTATGAAAATTAATACTATGGAAGTCAATGGCTACCGTCACCTGTTTGGTTACCAGCATTCTTCAAAATATCTTCTTTTGTGTTCAACAGAAGTAAAACATTCATACAGGTTTGGAACAAGTGGAGGCTGAGTAAATGATGACAGAATTTTCATTTTTGGGTGAACTGTCCCTTTAAAGAAGAGGAATGAAGATTCATACCTCGGGGTACGACCACTCGGGCGAGAAGTCTGTGATGTTGGCCAGACGCTGGGTTTCCGCTGGGTTTCCTCCGGAGTTTGTAAGAAGCGGGAAGGGCAGGAACGAGGTGGACGGTGTCGGCTGCGGAGGAACCATGTAGCGGATGGGGTAAATGGGCGGAGCCAGGGTGGGCAGGTGACTGATGGGCTCCTCTATAATCAGCTCAGATATGAGGTCGGGGAAGGCGGAGTCAAATGTAAGCCCCGCCTCCTCTCCGTCTATATGGCCGCAGTGGGTGGTGTCCATGGGTGTGACTTCTGATTCAAAATGTGTATGAGTGGGCGGAGACTGCTCCTCCTTCACTTGTATGTGACTCACGCTTGGGGGCGTGGCCGGGGGCGGGATCCGATTCGGAGGATGAATGCACATGGAGTGCTGTGACTCCGCCTTTTCTCCCTCTGGAGGAAGCTGATTGGTCGGCAGCACTTCGAGGGAGGGTGTTATTTGGGTGGCGGGCGAGAGCAGATTGGTCAGGAGATGACCGGGCGGGGCTTGAGTGGCGAATCCGGTGGGAGGAGCTCTGGCATCGGAGGGCGGGACAGACAGAGGGGAACTCAACGAATCGAGTCCTAAAGATGACTCCAGACACAGCGGGAGCAGCGCGGGAGTCGTTCGCGTCGGAGAGAGTGAAAGAGACAGCGAGGGCGAGGGACAACCCAGAATACTCTTCCTCTCCGTCTCAGAAGAGAGGGAGGATAGAGACGATGGAGGAGACGTGGGAGAAAGAGACAGAGCCAGAGATGGCGGCTGAGGAGATGTAGAAGGAGGTGGAGACGGGGAAGAGGCGGAGGAGAGTGAAAGGGGTGTGAGGGCGGGGCCTCCGTAGGTCTGCCCCTGTTTGGGGCTGTTTAGGAAGGAGTCAGGGTCAAATGGGAGCAACAAGGGCGATGGCGACGTTGGGTTTGGGGGCAGGAGTGTCCCGGGGGTGTCGGTCAGCAGCAGTCCTCCAATCACAGGGCTGGGCAGGAGAGTGAGTGACAGCGTGGCCACGCCCTGATTGGGAGGGGCGGGGCTCTGTGGGGAGGTGGAGCTTGACAGGGAGGGTGTGTCCTGTTTGGGCGGCACAGGAGATATAACGAGACGTCCACCGGCGCGGGTGAGCGACAGGTGGGTGGAGCCTAACTCTGCGTTTGGCTCCTCCCCACAGCCACAACCCACCGGCGCTGCCGTCGTCATGACGATGAGTGCCGCCAATCCACCCCGCTGGTCACCATAGAATCCGTTTCCATTGCTAAGAGCGATTGTCGCCGCCCGCTGCGTTTGGGGCGGACTGGAAGACAAGGAGGAGGAGGCGGAGCATGGAGAAGCCACACCCCCCTGATCATCGCCTCGCCCGCCCTCTTCAGGCTGCTTCCTCTCTGAAGGCACAACAGCGACTAACGCGTCGCCCGGTCCCGCCTCCCGCCCGACCTCTGAGCCCTCATTGGCCAGATTCAGCAGCTCGCTCAGGGCGGGGTGAGGGGTGGGCAGTTTGGGCGAGATGATGCGGTGTTTGGTGCTGTTGCAGCGGTGAGGAATGTTGGATCCGGGAGATGCTGCGGGAAACACGTCACACACGGCAAATCAATGACACAGGAAAAATCACACAATAGCATCTGAAAGTATGGGGTTTATTTAATCAGTAAAAACTGTAATACTCAGAAATATTATGACAACTTAAAATATGTAAATGTGTATTGTAAAACAGTGAATGTGTGTGTGAGAGTGTGTGTGTGTGTATATGAATGTGAGTGTGTCTGCGTTTAGTGAGTGTATGAATATGAGTGTGTGTGAGTGTGTATGAGTGTCTGTATGAGTGTGTTTGTGTGTGAGTGAGTGAGTGTGTGTGTGTGTGTGTGTGTGTGTGTGTGTGAGAATGAGTGTGTTTGTGTGTATGAGTGTGTCTGTGTGTGTGTGTGAGTGTATGTGAGGATGTGTGTGAAGTGAGTGTGTGTTGAAAAAGTGTTTGAGAGAGTGAGTGTATGTGAGGATGTGTGTGAAGTGAGTGTGTGTTGAAAAAGTGTTTGTGAGAGGTGTGTTTGTGTGTGAGTGAGTGAGTGTGTGTGTGTGTGTGTGTGTGTGTGTATGAGTGTGCGTGCGTGTGCATGTGTGCGTGCATGTGTGTATGAGTGTGTGTGTGTGTGCGTGCGTGTGTGTGAGTGTGTGTGTGTGCATGTGTATGAGTGTGTGAGTGAGTGAGTGAGTGAGTGAGTGAGTGAGTGTGTGAGTGAGTGGGTGAGTGAGTGGGTGAGTGTGTGTGTGTGAGTGTGTATGAGTGTGCGTGCGTGTGTGCGTGCGTGCATGTGTGTATGAGTGTGTGTGTGTGCGTGCCTGTGTGTGAGTGTGTGTGTGTGCATGTGTATGAGTGTGTGTGAGTGAGTGAGTGAGTGAGTGAGTGAGTGAGTGTGTGAGTGTGCGTGCGTGTGCGTGCGTGCGTGCATGTGTGTATGAGTGTGTGTGTGTGCGTGCGTGTGTGTGAGTGTGTGTGTGTGCATGTGTATGAGTGTGTGTGAGTGTGATTGTGTGTGTGTGTGTGTGTGATTGTATGAGTGTGTGTTTGTATGAGTGTGTATGAGTGGGTGCGTTTAGTGAGTGTGTATATGATTGCGTGTGTGTTTAGTGTGTGTGTGTGTGTGTGTTTGTATGAGTGTGTGTTTGTATGAGTGTGAGTGTGTGTGTGTGTGTGTTTAGTGATGTGTGTATGAGTGTGTATATGATTGTGTGTGTGTGTGTGTGTGTTTACCGCAGAGGCAGGTGTGTGTTCGAGGTTGTGGTTTGGTCTGTTGTGTTTCTAGGATCTGTTGCACCATCTGCTCCACTGAGAGCTCCACAGAACTGTTGCCTCCACAAGACCATTTTATACTGTTGACTAAACACACACATAGATATAGTCATTTACAGTCACACTGACCAGATAAAACGTGAGTGACGACCAAACGCTGAATTATTGAAAATGTAACACACACACTGAGTGATTTGAGGTTTTTTGCATTAATTTTTCAACACTTCAGCGGTCTGGTGTCAATTATTCAGTAACCACATATTCGCATCACTATGTAACGTATGAAATATTGTACTTCATGCAGAAGTCGTTCTGTGGTGATGTACTCATAGATCAGTGATTGGTTGTTTGGTGAGGCTGCAGGCGTGTGATTGGTTGTTTGGTGAGGCTGCAGGCGTGTGATTGGTTGTTTGGTGAGGCTGCAGGCGTGTGATTGGTCACTCACACATGGGTTTGAGTTGGGACAGCAGTTCGTCTCGGCTCCAGCGCAGACTGTCCCTGCGGTCGGTCAGAGCACACGACACCGGGCCAGACGACTTCACACTGTCCTCCAGCGACGGCACGTTCAGATAGTGCACTAGAACAATGTCTGGGTTCTGAACACACACACACAGGATATATATTTTTGTAAACCAATGTCACAATTAAAATAAGTGTAATAAAACACGTACTAAAAATTATGTACGTCATACAAATGCAAAATAAAAATAAACCATTTTTAAATAAAAAGCATGTTTTACATGATACATGATGAAAACATTAAAATAAAACACAAATTTTAAAAACTATAAATTTTATTTTAAAATAAAAACAATATTTATAAAAAACACTTACTAATTTATTTACTTATTAAATCACAAAAATGTAAAAATAAATAAAAATAAAGAAATTCTTTTAGAATAAAAGTAATGAAAATAAAACACTTAAAATTAATGTATTTAAAATGTATTAAAACATAAAAATGTCTAAAATAAATAAATATTTTAAAATAAAAACAATTAAAATAAAAAAGAAAAATTTAAATCAAAATAAAGAAAGTTTTAAAATAAAAAACAAATTAAAATAAAGCACTTACTAAAATTGCTAAAATCATCGAAATGTAAAACTCAAATAAAGAAATAATTTAAAAACAATTAACAAGCACTATAAATTAATGAAATCAAATGTGTAAAATTAAAATAAAGAAATACTTTTAAAATAAAAGCAAAAAAACATTTATTAAAATTTATGATAATAATTAAAAGTATTAAAATAATCAAAGCATAAAACAAACAAAAAAAATTTGAATATAACAATTAAAATAAAATACTTAATCAAAATTATTAAATCATAAATAGGTAAAATAAAAAAAATAATTCTTTTTTATTTTACTCTTTTATTACTTGTTCACTGCAAACATTGAACAAGAAGTCGTGGCCTAATGGTTAGAGAGTCGGACTCGTAACCCAAAGGTTGTGGGTTCGAGTCTCGTACCGGCAGGGATTGTAGGTGGGGGGAGTGAATGTACAGCGCTCTCTCCCACCTTCAATACCACGACTGAGGTGCCCTTGAGCAAGGCACCGAACCCCCAACTGCTCCCCGGGCGCCGCAGCATAAATGGCTGCCCACTGCTCCTGGTGTGTGTTCACGGTGTGTGTGTGTTCACTGCTGTGTGTGTGCACTTTGGATGGGATAAATGCAGAGCACTAATTCCGAGTATGGGTCACCATACTTGGCCACATGTCACGTCAAAAACATCTAGCACTGAAGCAATTCTTTGATGTTGTATAACAATTAATATCATTACAACAATAACTTCTTTTTTAATATGCACACATCCTGGCTTCTGATTGGGTAGATTAGTGTCACATGCTCATAATAACTAACCTGCAGCAGCCAATAGCATCTCCTGTGGAATGTTGGGACGATGGAGGAATGAACATAACAACCGTAAAGACACTGCAGGAGGAGAGAGAAACCCGTGAGCGTCACGTCATCACACACACACACACACACACACACACTCTCTCTCTCACACACACACACACACACACACACACACACACACGCACTCGCACTCGCACACGCACACGCGCACACACACACACACACTCTCTCTCTCACACACACACACGCTCACACACTCACACTCATACACACCTCCATGCCCTGAACCTTCAGCTTCATGTGATCCTCTCTGGTCGTCTTTCCGTCCTTCCTCTTCTTCCAGCAATATCCATCTTTCCGGTATTTGACCTTCTTGCGATTGTACAGGATGACTGAACCGTTCTGCGGCCTGTGTGTGAACATCATCGATTTCATCCACCATTCAGAAACGAGGAATTAAAAATACACTTCAATCAAAACACAACCAGACAGCTGAACCGATCTTGTTTTAAACATTCTATATTCACTACTAGATGAACACAGGCAGTTAATGCCACTGTATTATTCAATTAATTTACTTCTAGATACAATTAACTTGTGAATCATATTAAATAGGATATTGATGATAATCTTGTTCATATATTTTATTGCTATAACGGTCACCCATGTCACTTGAGAATTACAATGTTTCTCATTATCAATATTTCAGATTGAACTGCTGTTAAAACTCCTGTTTAGCTGTGTGTTGTCAGGTCAGAACTTCAGTCGGTCCACCATCAGTCAACGTGAAAATGAAATCAAACACGATCTCACGACTGACCTGGTCTTAAGCGTGCAAGAAAGCCACTCGTCATGTCTGTCGAACGAAATCAGGAACGATGCAATTTCCTGAAACACACACACACACACAACACACTTAGATTATAATCTAGTGTCCATTATAAACCAGCTGTGATCCGGGTTATTGTTGTAAATATAAAATAAAATAAAAAAATAAACATTTTCATTACTTGAAATTAAACGTTAATGAAATATAACAAATTAATAAACATAAATAAAATATAAAATAACTTAAACTTACTTTATTTCAACTAGTTGCCAAGCCAACATTTCTCATTTTTATTTAGATAAAACAAAATAAACTAAGACTAATAAGTAAAAAACAGACATTAAAAATGAGAAACAAAACATTACAAAAGCATGAAACAAAATTCCTAAAACTTTAACTCAAATGTGAGTGAAAACAGAAAATTAATGTCAACTTAAGCCAAAAACAAAGTAATTTAAAGATGCTTTTGTGATTTTTTGCAATTCCCAACAGTAGTGTGAGAGTCATCTGGTGACTATATGAATGTGTGTAAGCGTGTGTGTGTGTGTGTGTGTGTGTGTGCGTGTGAGTGAGTGTAAGAGAGTGTGAGTGAGTGTGAGAGAGTGAGTGAGTGTGAGAGAGTGAGTGAGTGTGAGAGTGTGTGAGTGAGTGTGTCTGTGTGAGTGTGACAGTGTGTGTGAGTGAGTGTAAGAGAGTGTGAGTGAGTGTGAGAGAGTGAGTGAGTGTGTGAGTGAGTGCGAGAGTGTGTGTGTGAGTGTGTGAGTGAGTGTGAGAGTGTGTGAGAGAGTGTGAGTGAGTGTGAGCGAGTGTGAGAGAGTGTGTGTGTGAGTGTGAGAGTGTGTGAGAGAGTGTGAGTGAGTGTGAGCGTGTGTGAGTGATTGTGAGTGTGTGAGAGAGTGTGAGTGAGTGTGAGCGAGTGTGAGAGAGTGTGAGTGAGTGTGAGCGAGTGTGAGAGAGTGTGAGTGAGTGTGAGCGAGTGTGAGAGAGTGTGAGTGAGTGTGAGCGAGTGTGAGAGAGTGTGAGTGAGTGTGAGCGAGTGTGAGAGAGTGTGAGTGAGTGTGAGCGAGTGTGAGAGAGTGTGAGTGAGTGTGAGCGAGTGTGAGAGAGTGTGAGTGAGTGTGAGCGAGTGTGAGAGAGTGTGAGTGAGTGTGAGCGAGTGTGAGAGAGTGTGAGTGAGTGTGAGCGAGTGTGAGAGAGTGTGAGTGAGTGTGAGCGAGTGTGAGAGAGTGTGAGTGAGTGTGAGCGAGTGTGAGAGAGTGTGAGTGAGTGTGAGCGAGTGTGAGAGAGTGTGAGTGAGTGTGAGCGAGTGTGAGAGAGTGTGAGTGAGTGTGAGCGAGTGTGAGAGAGTGTGAGTGAGTGTGAGCGAGTGTGAGAGAGTGTGAGTGAGTGTGAGCGAGTGTGAGAGAGTGTGAGTGAGTGTGAGCGAGTGTGAGAGAGTGTGAGTGAGTGTGAGCGAGTGTGAGAGAGTGTGAGTGAGTGTGAGCGAGTGTGAGAGAGTGTGAGTGAGTGTGAGCGTGTGTGTGTGTGTGTGAGAGTGAGTGTGAGAGTGAGTGTGTGAGAGTGAGTGTGTGTGAGAGAGAGAGTGAGAGTGAGTGTGTGTGTGTGAGTGAGTGTGAGTGTGTGTATGAGAGTGAGTGTGAGAGTGAGTGTGTGTGAGAGTGAGAGTGAGTGTGAGTGTGTGAGAGTGAGTGTGTGTGTGAGTGTGAGTGTGAGTGTGAGAGTGA